ACTCATATTTATTGTGAAACATGTTTTTCCAGTTTTGAAGATTGGAAAGGGTGACAATACGAAGTTTCAATAAACCCTGAAATTAAATGTAGTGTGTAGGAAAAGCGTAGGAAAATTAAGGCATATGCATATTCTGCATGTTGGTCGGAAAGCGTTCATTTGGTAAATAAAGTAGTGATCATTTTATTTTATTTGTCTCTCTTTCTTTATAGATATACAATAGGATATTTTAATTACTGATGACTTTTTGATGTTTGATACACTTTATTAAATCGCAAAATCTTTCTGAATTTGTGTTTTACTTTATTAATATATTTTTTCATTATGTTCCTCATTTTCTTTCTTTCCATTACTTTTTTTAAAAAATTTATGCATCGCTTTTCGTTTATTTTACCATTTAAAAGTTACTAAGAAAGAGAAACTTAATTGTGATTAGATAATTTTTTATTATTCCACTTTTTACACTTTTTCTACCTCTTTTCAGATTGTTAACTTTATGCAATGGAGCCAAAGAAATGCGAACCTGCGACCTTCCTCAAATGTAAGCATGAGTATTGGCAACATCGCCAACGTGTATTAAACCGAAAGGAAAAAATGTTCAACTCAACCCCAAGTAGTTTTGAGTACAGCCAACCTATTGGTGAGGGGCGCATCCGCCCGCATCAGTCTGATCGCGATCGTCAGATTAACTACGACAATTCCAAGCTTGTTGATCGGATGCTATATATTATGCAAGGTCAGGGTGGCATTAACAATAGCCCGCCTTGGCGGGATCACAACAAGGCCATCAATTCCCAACACGTTCGGGAGCTCAATCAGCGCCGTATTGCTCATGAGAACCTCCGGCTGCTCGAGCGCATTGAGAAGGTTGAGTCGGTCTACAAGGCGGAGGACTTTGAGTCTGCACATGCTCAGAATGAGATCTACGCCGCGCGGATTAGCCGTTATCCCTATCCCTCCAAGCACAGGTAAGGACGGGAATACGACGAATCGGTGTGGCCTACTAATCGTTGTTTTTGCGCGAACCCCAAGCAAGCCTATCACGACGAAATATAATGGAGAGGGGTGGGATGGGGAAAGAATCCCCCCCCTCTCCTTGTAGATTTCTAGTGAATGGGTTTATACTAACTGAAGAAAGAAAGAGAGCGTTGTTATCTTTACATGGTGAAGTAGTTTATAATACTTTTTTTTATTGTTATATACATTTTTAATACTAGTCCAATACATCATCTGTAAACTTTTCCTTTTTCATTTATACACTTCATATGTGATTGATACAGTAGTTTGATAAAAAATAAAAAAGAACACATTAAGAGATTTTTCTCAACTATTAAAATGTGGAAACTCTGATATATATTATTACGCCTTGATTACAGGTTCTCTTCGTTTCTTATATTCATTTGTCTTATTACTATTCTTTTTTCTAGGGAAGAGTAGCAGGACATGAACGTTTTTTTGTGTTGTTAATTCCATAATGAGGTTATTTTAGAGGAGCATCTACAACACTTCAGACTAAGCGTTATTCTAGAGAGAGCTTTTACACACACACGTGGAGGGATCTGAGACTCCTTGAGCTGGGGTACACATCAAGAATTACCCAATGGTTGTGTTAACAAGACCACCTACGATGTCCAGTTCCCAATCACCGATACTGCGAACAGTCCATTCCAGCGATTTTCCACAGAGTAAGAGACTCCCCCCCCAATTTTATTTTTATAGACAACTCCGACATTAGGGAGGATGACCTTGGCCAAGCCACTGATGACGCGGACTTCGTTCCTCACGCGCGATCCTATGGCCTGTTATTGAAAACAACCTCAGCTTAAGAGCCTTTACAGGATGTTCTACCAAGGCTTCTTTACGCAGACGTTTTTT